GCAGCATGGAAGGACATGTCTCTCTTTGCTGTTGCTGGCTGTTGGTAGGACAGAGGACTTCCAGCCTGAACTTTGCCAAGGGCAGAGTCAACAAGGGGAAATTCATGGCTGATTCCCATGCTGCAGATCATTGGTGCATCAGCTGCTGCAAAATCTTCATACACCTCGGAAACCTGGGAAAGTGAAAACAATTATTTCAATAAAATGTAAAATACATGTATATCAACTAATTTTAAGCCCTCAAAAATTCTACACTTTACAAAGAGACAGCACTTGAAAATAAAATTATTCAATACACCGGTAAGTCTACAACTCTTTGTTAGTACATTGTAGCCTACTGTTAATTTCATTTTTATTTATCAGTAATTTAAATACAACTACTTACTCTAAGGACAGAAAGGTCCGGCAAATCCCCACTAAGGCCTTTGTAGAGTGTGCTCCTGTGTATAAAAATAAGAAAAGAACATGAGTCAAAAATAGAATACCCACATGCATTTCGTTCAGATATGAAACATAAAATAATAGTGTTTTTCAAGCCTGGTCCTCAAGGCACACTGTCCTGCATGTTTGAGATTTGTCCCTGCTTAAACACAGCTCATTTCAGTTGGTAACTGATTAACAACTGTTAATGCAGGGAAATCTATAAAGCATGCAGAGCAGTGTGCCTTGAGGACCAGGGTTGAGAAACACTGTTGTAATACATCAGAATTTTTATTGATTTTTTTTTACCTTACACCCTCTGTTGTTGCTCCACTCTTCGGTTTAGCAGACAGCACAGTCATCTTGTCCACGGGGCCAGGTTTTATACCCTATTCAGTTATCCATGACACAGTTACAAGTTATACGGCAAGAAAATGTAATAAATTGAGTCTATTATTGAAGAGAAAACTTACTAAAGTTCTGGGCTTGTGCCACTGCTGTTCTCCTTCTGTACAGCTTAGTACAGGGGGGACCACTGACAGTTTCAGCTCAGAATAATGTGCTGACTGGAACAGCAAAGCCACACAGTGGTTGCATAATGCTGCACCAGCAACACACGTACAGCTGTGGTGAATCAGCTCCACAGGACACGAGTCTTTCAGGACCACCTGCATAAGAATGTCATAGTAAGAACTTATTATCTTAGCTTGGTCACTCATCAGCCATTCTTTCATGATGCAATCTTGCTTCCCAAATATTTTTTTATAACTAATGTCATAGAACCATAGTATCATGTTATGTGATTATATATTTAGTTTGGAGTATGTTCTATGAAGGTCAAGAGTAGTGTAATACAATTATCACAAGATTACATCTTAAATGAATGGATGAGATAAAGATAACTTGATTTCAAAACACTTTTAACCCAGAGGAGACCCGCTAGGTAAAAATACCTGGATAATGTTACAGAGACTGTGAGTGTATTCTTTAGATTTAAGTAAAACTAATATGCATGAATTACCAAATTAACACTGGGTTAAAAGTAACACATAACAACCATAAAAGAAGAACAATGCATGCAGCAAATAACCAAATGGGGACAAGCAAGGCCAAACTCACGTGTTAATATTCATCAAATAGCCAATTCCATTTTATTTTTATTTAAGAATTAATTACCACCTTAGCTAAATCCCCATTAACATTAGGAACGTCGGGTTACTGAACCAACAATCTTAAAACTGTCATCTGAACAATCCTATCTTCACCCTACACTTAAACTGTGAGGTTTTTCATTTTTCTTCATGGACCTGTGACACAGAGCCCTGACAACGACTTCACCTGTGTCCTGATTTTTGCTAGAAACTGAGAAGAGCAGAATGTTAGTAGAATGATCACAAAATATGAGCCTTTTGTTTAAGTGTGGAAAACCTGTTTCTATAACGTGAGTATACACAAAAATGGTCGTGTTGCTAATAGCCTAACGTTAGCTGCAAACAGTTAGCAACATCACAACGATCAAACTAACGTTACTTACCCTCGTAGTTGTGCAGGTAACTTGAGATATACAATTTAAATCCCTTGTTACGTTTGCTTGTCGGAGCAGGGGACCAGCCATCAACAATACGATGAACATCGCTGATATTTATCTTGGGCAGCTCTTGTAAACATCTAGAAAACGCCATTTTCACCGAGACCGGGGATTAGACCGGAAACTGGAATGCCGACATCCGGTCAAAGGGGAAGTGATTCAGGACGCATGTGCACAGAGCCTATCGGAAGGCATCGCCACAGAAACAATACGACTTCTACTCAGGAAGGAAAATTGTAGACGTTGCTCAGAAAGTACCTTCTTTGTACACTGACGCTACAGTTGTAACTTATCTGGTAAGTGGTTTGCAAGAGTTCAATGGGCAAACTGAATCGTTGTTGGTTTTTAATGAGAGTATTCAAAGCAGCGTTGCTATTTTTAGATTTCAGGACATGGGCTCCATATGACCGCCCAACAGGATTATGAAACAAAACGCAAGATCTTCCAAGGAAGAAAGAAACAAAACATCTAAAACTTGTTGTTGTTGGATATCAATGTCAAAATGCTGCAAGTGTCTTGAAAACAATGGAGATGTAATTCAAAAACTACCATTGCAAGTTGATATAAATTAAGGCCATAAAGAGATATATTTTTAGATATATTTTATCAAATAAAATTTTAAATATCTTATTTTTAGAGAAATATAAGTCCAAGTAAATCAAAAAATGTGTGCACAGTTTTAATTTTTTTAATTTTTTTATTTTTTTTAAATTGTAAATTGAACCGTCTAGAATGTGAGAAGACAGTACATGCACTCATGAATAATGAAATATTTCTAGAATAAAAAAATTGGACTCCATTTATGTTTTTTTAATTTAAATGGAGTTTGCTCACAGTACAGAGTCCAGGAACCAGCTGAGACTAGAGAGATGCAAGTTTTATTGACCTAACCTAATTTAAAAAAAAACAACCAATCAATTTTCTTCAACACTACACCGGTTTAATTTTTCCTGCTAACAAACAAAAATGCCTTAATTGAAATTACACTGCAAGAGGATATGTTAAACAAGCGGTACGCCACTGTTCCCCGTGTCCGAGGGATTTGAATAGTGAATGTTTGTAGTTTTCAAGATAAGTGTTTCACTGGACTGGAATTAAACAGGGGATGCAAGTAAACTCACGTTTTTGGTGCAAGATGTTCAAGTGTGTAGGATTTACACTGTGGAGAAGAACAGAGGGAGTTTTTTGTTCTCCTTGTCCGAGGAGACGCAGAGTGACAGATCCTGGAGAGAAGAGGGAGACATTTTAATCACCACCAGGTACAGTGGAGGAGCCAGGGGGTGACCATTGGTGGTCTTAATCACCATAGATTAATCTTAGGCCACCTTCATTTTGAGGAAACAATACTTTTAAGCAATATAAATGTCAGAGATGGGGACACCTGGACAGGTCTCCAGTCCATCACAAGGACACAGAAACAAATGAGACAAACAACCATTCACTCGCTCATCTAGAAACAATTTAGTTACCAGTCAGCCTAACATGCATGTTTTTAGTCTGTGGGAGGAAACCGGAGTACCTGGAGAGAACTCACGCAGCACAGAGAGAACATGCAAAGCCACCCAGAAAGGCCCCCAGCTGGGATTTAATCCGGCGACCTCGCTGTGAGGCAACAGCTCTATCACCTGAGCCACCGTGCCATCCCAAGTTTTGATTCAATTTTGAGTTTGAATTTTAAGCCTGAATGTAGCCACACACCAAAATGGAAGTTGGTATCCCGTGTCTTTATCAAGTTATGCTCACACAGACGGATGGACGGGTAGACAGAGAGTAATTTCAATTCCTCCGCTTCTCTTCGGGAGAGGGAACAAGAACATTGAGATTCACAAATTGGTAACATGCACAATCCAAGAGGACTTGTGAGCTCATTTCCGTCATCAAAGTGAAAACTCTGACAGATGCAACATTGTGAGCAGCAGACCTTGGTGTCTATATCCGACTCCCTACATTCTCTGGCTGTAGCTGGTGAAGCTGTTTGTGTGGGAAAGGTGCACCGCAGCAGGGAGCGCTGAAGGCGAAAACCTCACTTTTCTTCTTGAAGAAAATGTGAGAATCCCGCTGGAAATTCTGTTCAGGACTGAGCAGGTCAGATAAAGTTTGCATGCCCCACAAGTTCAGAGTGTGTGTGTTTGATAAAGTTCTCATAGTAGAGATCTGAGGCTTCCACTGGTCTCAGCAGTCCAAAACACTTCTCCGAATCTTGCTGACAGTGGACGACGGGTGGATAGAGTTAGTATGAGAAAGCTGATGAATATGAATGAGGTAAATGAAAGCTGATGAATGTTATCCTTTATCTCCATAAAGATTAGACGATTCCCTTGAACTTCTGCCAAGGACACACACAATAAAGAACAAATCTGAAGACGTAGCTTGTCTAGCAGTTTGATGGACATTGATAAGGTTACATTACATTGTGGTGGTATATAATGTTGGGGTGAGAATACCGAGTATGATCTGAGATAAAACACCGAGGACACCTTGTGCTCATTGCAATCTAAGTTTTATAAGGATCCAAACAACATCCAGATACATAGAAATAAAACAAATAGGTTTATTAGTGCATTTGCTTGTTGAGAGACTACTGGTAGCTGATGAGATATAGACTCGTTCTCCTCTTCATTTTCCTGGTGTCTGATCAATCGCACACCATCCCAATTCAAGGTGAAACCCATCAAAGTGTCATTCCCCTATTGTCAGTGATTCACAGGAATCTCAAACTCACAGACGGGCAGGCAGACAAACAGAAAGGCAGCATCAACAACAGAGTTAGGGGACAACCAGGCAAGATGCCCAGAGAGATTATTCTGCTTTACTGCCAGTACTCAAGACTGAAATGAGGGGGTGGGGTGGGGAGATTCAGTGTGAACACAACTCCCAGTCGTAAAACTGGCTCATAAACCTCATCAGGCCGCATGCAGAAAGAGCTGAGATAAAGTCCATCCAATCAATGCGATAAGATAAGTTGGTGAAACTTTGTTCAGAAGTTGATTCAGCCAGTGAACATGAAAACAGGTGGACGCTCCTGTAAGTGAGAGTTGCAGCCGAAGGACTGGCTCAGGTAAGACCTGCGAGGTGTTCGTTATCATGCTGTGGACCACGGGCCTCTGCCTCCTCTGGGCCTCCTTCATCCTCGGAGCTCCAGTGAGCAAAGAAAAACAGAAGCTGCTGCTCATTTCTTTTGACGGTTTCCGGTGGGATTATGACCGCGATGTGGACACTCCAAACCTTGACCAAATGGCCAAGGAAGGAGTCAAAGCACTATATGTTACACCTCCGTACCTCACCGTCACCAGTCCATCACACTTCACCATCCTGACAGGTAAAGCACGGTCCTACATGGGTTCTTCAGCTTGGAAATGGATCTGCACATCATGACAGAAAACTGTTCTGAGTTTACTTTGCAAGACTTGGAAAAAAACATCACAAGAAAGAGGAATTAGTTGTAATTGAATGTCCTCGGGTCCAGCGTCTTTTATAGCTGAGTGAGATGATAATACTTGGATGACGAGGGAAGAATTCTGTTCCCTTTCTTATTTCGACGCTCAAATCATCAGCGCCTACTAAAGGAAATTTAACTTGCTTGAAATTAAATTCTCCTAATCTCCAAAGTTAGTCGTAAGACCTCGTGCAAAAGCGTCATGCCACTCGGCCCGTTAAGTTGATAGAATTTTTAATGTAAATGTATCACGCTATGTTACAAGTGGAGGCAGGGCTGACGGTGATTCTCTTCTGCAGGGCGCTACATCGAGAACCACGGGGTAATCCACAACATGTGGTTCAACACAACCACCTCTGTGAAGAAGCCCTACTACCAGACTCAGTTTGTGAATGAGTGGTGGGACAATGGCTCCCTGCCTATCTGGATCACAGCACAGAGACAGGTCTGAGCAGCACAATTTCCATCTCATCACTGGGAGACTGTTTACAGCAATAGAAACCTTTTTCTGTTGACAAAACACCTCTGACGCTCTGCTGAGTGATTTCAGACACTTCAGTTGCAAATTATCCTGCAGGCGTAGATGCTAAAAGATAGAACTGACAGCAAAAGGTTTGGCTCTAGGTGGAGGAAAATTAATAAAAACGCAGCAATCGTTGATTTGATTTCCTTCTGTGTTGACCCACAGTTTGAGTTGATGAAGTGTGCACTTACTTGTCATCAATTCCAGCACATGTGTTGCATTTATGTAAATGGAGCCTGTTTTTCCTCCCTTTCCCAGGGTCTGAAAGCTGGCTCTCTTCACTTCCCTGGCACAGCTTCCAGTTACCAGGGACAGGTTGCTATGGTGCGCGAAGTGGAGCCCCTGCTGTACAACTACAAGAACGAGACGGCTTGGCAAGAGAACACAGACAAGGTGATGGGCTGGTTCAGAGATCGGGATCTGGATTTTGTCTCCATGTACTTTGGTGAGCCAGATGGCGTGGGCCACAAATACGGCCCAGACTCACCTGAGCGCAGGGACATGGTGAAGCAAGTGGACAGAACCGTGGGCTACATTCGACAATCAGCTCAACGGCACAAGCTAACTGACCGACTCAACATCATCATCACAGCAGATCACGGCATGAGCGCTGTGTTCCGCAAGGGCATGGTGGAAGAAATCACCCTGAAGAAGATCCCGGGCTTTTTATTCAGTGACCTGTCCTTCCACCTGGTGGACTACGGCCCCTCTGGGATGCTGCTGCCTAAGCCCGGCAAGCTGGAGAAGGTTTACCAAACCTTGAAGGGGGCTCACCCACACCTGCACGTGTACAAGAAGGAAGAGATGCCAGAGTACCTTCACTTCTCAAACAACAGCCGCATCCTGCCCATAATTTTATGGGCTGACCCTGGATATGTCATCAATGGGGTGAGTTGATATGAAAATGTATTTGTTGTTCAGCAGCAGCAGTAAAAATAGCATAAATGCAACGTTTCCACTCGTACTGCGACTTGCTTTTAGCCAGATGTGCAACGGAGTGACAGGTGCTGCTGCAGTTTTCTGCCCACAGCAAGTCCTATCGATTTACCCTTTAAAGGGTAAAGGAAAGTGCCAATTATACTTATGCAAGTTGCCACATTCAAACAGCAAACATTTACATTCCCTGCTATAACAGCTGTCGTAACATATTAACGCTAGTCAGCAAACTTATATAATTATGATCTTCTAGATTGGTCATGAGGAAAGCAAATGACACGCACTTTTATACAGATGGAGATAACGCTGATAGCTAATCTGTCCTGAAATATGCTCATGCCTTGACCTCAGGAATAAATCTGCTCACTGGAAGTTGTGAAACAGCTTTTTTCAATCAGCAGCAACAAGTTAAATTCTAATCTCGGGACGTTACAATTTTAATCAAGTGCATTTGCACGGATAATCCAGGCCCTGGCGGATGACATGCAGCGCTCTCAAATGCTTCATGAAGCAATTCATGCCTCAAAATTCAAAATTAGCATATTCATTTGGCACTACACTCACTCAGCCACTCCAGGGCACAGACACTTTTCGGCTGAATGTGTCGGCCCGCACTGTGAACCGTCACATCATGACTTCAAAAGTACGGAGCTGAAATCAGAAAATGTTTAACGAAACGAGCCAGCTGCGTAAATCCTCTCGTGACGTGGGTCCTCTCGAGGCTCGGGGTGACGACCAGCAGTGATCACTGCGTTAGCGGAGTCTTTGTTCTCTCCGTTTGGGCCTTAATCTCATTTGAATCCAGAGCAGAATAGATTATGTAATTCCTAAAATAACACTATTCTACATACTCATATTTATTCAACATGCTTTTGGTCACATTGCAAAACGATAAACACGTAGGAGTTTGTTTCTTTAAAATGTTCTGAATGGATTTTAAAAGAGCTCCTTTCACCGTGGTCTTTGTTGAACAGAGGCACAAAGAGAGAAAAGCCTCGTCGAAAATATTGGACTTTTTTTTGCTTAGCCAACATCTCCCTCTGCTGGAAGTCGGCCAAGATGTCGAGATCTGTTCGGCTTTTCTTAAAAAGTGCTCTGAACCCAACAAACTACACCGTGCCAGTGACATAATCTTCCTTTACCTCGCAGTATTTTCCAGTTCAGTTCAACAAAGGAGAGCACGGCTACGACAACCAGGAGATGGACATGAAGCCGTTCTTCAGGGCCGTGGGGCCAGTTTTCCACAAGAACCTTGAGGTGGGGCCTTTTGAGACGGTGAACATCTACCCTCTGATGTGTCACATCCTGGGCATTCAGCCCGAGAAGAACGACGGCAACCTGGACAACACCAAACACATGCTGGCTCCGGGCGTCCCGACCGGTGGTGAGTTCCTTATCACTTCCTTCATTTCAGACCAGCGTCCAGATCCAAACAGTTTAATAAAAAAAAGAAAATTAAGAACACGTCTCATTTGATGTAAGTAAAAATAATTCAGTTATCTCCGTTCAACACTTTTAAAACTGAGGTTAAAGGTCCGCATGCTGCCATGAACTCAAACATAAAATATGTTATCCTGAAGTTTAAAGTGTTTACTCCAGAGGTTTCCAGATACTGTATGGTGATATGAAATTCTGAAACATGCTATGCAAACTCAATGCAAATCACTTTTATCAGCATGTGCAACAAATTTGAGCTTAAATATGTACAGATACATTCAACAGTCTGATTTCTCCATCATATCCGCCTTATTCCTAGCCCCCATGCTGCCTTGCGTGAATTATGGGCGCGACTTCCAGTGCGGACCAGAACCAGCGTTTGTTTCTGTGCGAACAGTACGAGCTAATGTAGTTTCTCTGAGCATTGTGGATTTAATTTAAACATGCAGGAACACCACCTGTCAGAGCTCAAACAGGACAATAACGCTTCCTGCTGAGGACGAGCTGAAGAAGTGGCAGCAGATTACATCTACTAGCATATTTAGCTACTTATACTAGCATATTTAGCTACTTATACTAATATATTTAGCTACTTCACTGACTCTGTTCTTCTGACGGTGAAACGATGATCAACCTGAAAAGCTCTGGGGTGTATTAGTATCTACACAGTAATAAGGTCGGTGGTGTTTTTTTTAAAGAGGTGGGGCACAATCTTAGACACAGAGCCCAGCCAAAGCCTTAAAGTCCTCCATCACTGAGCTTGGGTTAATTACAGAGAAAATCATAAAACTAAGACGAACAAATACTATAATGATGTGCCCTCCATACACCTGAATGCTCTCATCACTGTTTTCAATCCTTCTGAGGAACCGGCGTCTCTTCTCTGGTGGTTTATTGGAGTCCAGACACAAAGTAGGATGCAGGTTTTCCTCCGTCGGCCATTTGTCAACAAAGTGAAATGAGCTCACATGCAGTGTTTTGGGTCCGTGTTCAAACTCTGTTGTTGTGGCCACTGATTTAGTTTGGTCTGGATGTTCTGCAGCCATGAACACAACAGGTACCTGAACTCACCACGGCTATTTTAGTAAACTTTATGGTTGTTAAATAAAAGTAAACAAAACAAAAACAGAGTTTTATCTACTAAACTGAACACTAATTACTTTCAAATAAACTGCGGTACGTGCTCCGCTACCATGGCTAACCAATGTTTACTGCTACTTCCTGTCTGACAGGAAGTTGTACCCATAATTATTTCAGACGGCAGAGCCCCCAAGAATACGGTGGATACGGCTTTTCCATGGATGCCACCGTTCATGGCTTCGCAGTAGTTTGAATCATTCTGTAATTTTGACATCAAAACACTGAAAATCATGTTTCTTTGACTCTTCTTTTACCCATAAATAAGCACTTAATGCCTGAAAGGGTATTTCGATTTAATTCAATTCAATTCAGTTTATTTATTTAGCGCCAAATCACAACAAAGTTGTCTCAGGGCACTTTACAGAAACATTCACATACATAAAAGCCAATTAGTCAAGTTCTCTATCTAAGGAATGCAGCAGACAAGTTGAATCTTGGCTTCGTTGCAGACTCCCATCCTGAGCAAGCACAGTGGCAACAATGGAAAGGAAAAACTCCCTTTTATTTCTGGCAGTAAGAGTCTGAATGTTGAAGGCTTAGAATATTTTTCCCCCAAAGAATGCGGTTAAATGTTAATTTGTCACAATGTCATAATTTTGGAGACACATTGGTCTAACCAGTAAAATATTATTTCAATAAACAGAACAAAATGGATGCAATTGCCAAAGCTTACAGATACCTGGAGCTGGACATTAGCGTCCAGAAAACTGATCCTCCAAAAACCAGTACCCCACCTTGATTTTCCCAAGCACCCAAAATGTACATGGATAACAATGCCTTGGAAAATGTAGACCAATTCAAATACCTTGATACTTCATCGATGCTGAGATCCATCAACACACAGAATGCACTAGTGGGATCTTTGCTTGGTTGATTATCTATAAAGCAGAAGTCCCCTGCTGGAAGTTGGACAACTACAGGAGACAACTGAAGGTCCTACAGCAGTACCACCAGAGATGTGTATGCAGGATCAGCTGGGAGGACAGGCCAACAAATGTCCTGAAGGAGGTCAATGCCCCCAACATCCCTCCAACCATCACTCCACACCGGCTACAACGAGCAGGATGCCTGGATGACAAATAAGTGCCTACCTTAAACAACTTCTTCAGGGCCACACACCCAACATGGATAGAAGAGCAGGTTCACAGAATATACTAAAGACACCTGAGAAAGTGCTGCTTGGACCTGAACATCTGGAAAGAGGCGGCCCCAAATAAACAAATGTGGAGCAGGATGGCCAACGCAACCACACGACCGCCACGTTTTTTTTTACCTGCGAATGTTTCCTGCAATTTGTGTTCATTTTTTACTCGAGTTTCATTTTGTGCCATTAAATGTGAAATAAACGTTTTGAATTTTGAGCTGACTCCTTGTTCTTTGCAAGTCAGGTTTATTTAGTGATAATTTAGGACTTTAAATTTGATTTAATCTGGATGTGGGTTGTCCTCACACATGATTATTTGCTGCTGTGAAACAATAATTACCAACATTATCATTTAATATGGAAAACTGTGGGACTCACCTCGCTAAAAACTATCATTTCCTGTGGCGGCTGCAAATAGTTGATGTCAGCATGACTGTCGTTGGCATAAAAACAACTTTAATTAAGTGCTCAATCAGACGTTAATAAGTTTGTTTCTCTTCTTGGATGTTTTCAGGTGAAAATATCAACTTAAAGAAAAATGCCATGATTGGACTGGCTGCAGTAACTGGGTTTCTTCTTGTGGTTTTTATAGTGACAGTTTCACACAAAATACTCAAGAGGAAACACAAAAATGAAAGGTAAAGACTTAAATATCATAAGCTACAACTTTTATTTGAGGCACAGGGGTAGTATAAAATTTATAGTAATACTTTTGTGTCAGTTTTATCACACAGCCTCATGTACTCAGCTGTAGTAACTGTCAACTGTTGTTTGACTGTTTTAGTCTCAACCTTGACTCGATTCTTTGTCTCCGTTTCAGATCTGAAAGCTTCAAAGACGGAGAGAAAGAGACAAAACAAACTTCGTTTTAATCATCTTGTACTCTCTTTCTGAACAAAACATGCATGAGCTGCACATGAAACACTGAAAGGAACAACGGAACTGTGTGAAAATTATTAACGAGAGTGCAATTATTTAAAGCTGCTTTAATTGGATAGAAAATGGGTTTTCTATAGATTTGGTTCTAAACCAGTAAAGAGTAAGTGAACAAGGTTTGAACCTTTTTGATAACAAGCAGCCATTAAAAAGTTTGGATGAGTGAAATTTTCTCTTTAAGCAGAACTTTATCATTTGCTTTTCTGTTTGTTTTGGGAGAAATCTGTAAATAAATTATATTTATGTTAATTGTTTTTGCTTGCAGATAAATAAAGTTATTAAAACGGTTCAATTTATATTATTTAAACACGATGAAGAAGGGTCATTTGAATGTGCGCGTGCCACTAGCACTTACAAAGAAGGATCACGTTTTGACTACGGGAGCTGCCGAGGGTCAGTTTCAGACCCGCTTGGTTCAAAGGCATCAAGTTACACAAGTGAGCACGAGACTTCCGGTTATTGTTTCCAAAATAAACTGCTCTTAGGCCCAACAAAATGACATTTCAGACATACAAATTATGCAACAACCATTATTTAAAGATAATGTCACAATTTCTACCTTTTTTCTTTTTTCTTTTTCTTTTCCATATTTAAAATGCAAAAAAGTCATAGGTAAAATAGTTTACCCTATTTGCTTTTATTGCTAGTCGACCTCAAACGATTAGTTTGGTGCAAAACCTTTTAAACATTTATACGTTACATATTTCCAAATACTAGTGTATTTTGCTATCAGTGTATGAATATTTAATTTAATATTAATTTTACAATGATAAAGTATTTTCCATATTTGTGTCCTTGAATAACTAATTAATGAGGCATGGAACAAGAGATCCAAAATCACATCAATGCTTTTGAAACCAGCTAAAATGTGTGATGAATAATTTTCAGCATTTACACAAGCGTACAAAACACACTCTTTTTGGAGAGCCCCACTCCCATCTCCAAAAGTCTTGAGAAAAATGTGGACTTTCTCAAAGCCTGTTTAATTCTAGGTAAAGTTGAGACATAAAACCCATGTACTTACATGGATATTGTACTAAAGTAAAATTATTGTCATTCCACGTTTTTACGTGCCTCAAAAATGTTTAAAACGTACAGATACAGACATAAAGATATTTCTGATAAACAAAGAGGCCCTCTGCAAGTTCTATACACTGCTCAGTTCATACCACCTTAAACTGGGAAACGGACTTGGAGGAATCCATATCAGAGTCAATCTGGAGAAGGATCATCAAGAACATTTACTCATCCTCAATCTGTCTGAGACATGCTGTAATGCAATTCAAGGTAGTGCATTGGCTGCACTATCCAAAGACAAGCTGTCCCAAGATCAAGGCCAACCTGGACTCCGCATGTCGTTGCAAACAAACTCCAGCTACACTCCTTCATATATTCTGGACCTCTCCCAAACTGCAGACCTTTTGGCGATCTATTTTTGACACCTTCTCTGAGATATGTGGATAAACTGTACACACATCACCATTCATCTAACTGTTCGGGGTGGTCTCTGTGGACATGTCCTTCAGCAAGTATGAGAGGGATGTGATTGCTTTTGGCTCTCTTCTGGCCAGGAGACTTGTTTTGTGCAGTTGGAAGGACCCACATCCCCCAGCATATGTACACTGGATAAGAGAAGTCATGTATTCGGATCCATTTCAAAATTCTCATGTATGTTTTTAAATCACTGAACAGTTTCGCCCCATCCTATCTCACTGATCTTCTGCAGCCATATGTCCCACCGTGCTCTCTGAGGTCAGCAGACCAGATGCTTCTCTCAGTCCCAGAAACCCGTCGTAAGCTCAGAGGTGACAGGGCTTTCTCTGTTGCAGGTCCACGACTGTGGAATGAGTTGCCACTGAGTGTCCGGCAGGCTCCCACACTCTCAGTCTTTAAGTCTCGCTTGAAGACCCACTTCTATTCGCTTGCCTTTAACACGGTGTGATTTGTTTTGGTCCGGTCTGTTCTCTACTCTGTTGGCCATTTTAGTTAGCTTCTGCTGCTATTTGTATCTGTATTTCTATTTTATGTTTTCCTGTCTGCTGTGCATGTTTGGTTCTTTTGTACAGCACTTTGGTTGGCCTTGTTGCTGTTTTAAGTGCTATATAAATAAATTGGTATGGTATGTATCATGTTCATCTGGAAAAAAAAATAGATATACCCTGAAGGGTTCTGCAAAATGATTCTGGGACACCTGGCGGCCTTTTTTTGTCGTATGTTGAAAACATGTCAACACCTGTATGAAGGCATTCTTGTATGTGTGGGTGATCTGTTGTGGGTGGGGAGGGGCAGGAGGGGATTTTGTCCTCTATTGTGTTTGTGTTCGAAAAATAAAATAGAATTCATAAAAAGACCTTTATTTTTTTTTTTTTTAAAAAGCTTCTTTCCAGAAAATAATGTAAGTACCGGTACATTCAGGTTAATGGTTTTAAAGGTTTTAGGCCCCTTCAAAAATTAGATGAAGACCCTGCAATGACTTAAAAATCTGCTAGAACATGAAATGTTTTTTGTGTGTTCTTGGCGAGGTCTTCGGGTAAAATCGGTAAGAATGTGGTGGGTTCCTCTGAGAGCTCCACGGTGGTCTGGAGCATGCACAGAACTTCCACAGAATGGTCATAGTGGTTTATCGTGGTGTTGGCTGGATATCCATGACATGGTACTGTCAGAATTTGAAGCAGGTCGGACCACGTTGGTCACAAACGGGTTACAAATATGAACTAAAAGTCCTGACGCAGTCCAAGGCTACGATCGCACTGTAGGTCCAAATGCTCAGATCCAACTTTTTCTGCGTGGTCGTTCACATTATAATTGAAATGTGACCTCCATCAGACTCCAGTGTAACAGTCTACAGTTCTGAAGCGACTCGTGGAAGAAGACGGGACGTCACACACAGCACGCCGTGTTTGTGGAAGTATGTGTGGATCACACACACCACATATGTATCTGATATATTCCAACACATGAAAAACACCTGTGTTGGATTTTTTTTTTTTTTTTTTTCAGTTTTAGATTATAAAAATAATCTAGCATGGGTTGCAAAAAACAAATACAGTAATTGTATTTTGGCCCGTTTTTCCTGCAGTGTGAGCACAGTCTAGGTCCAGCCTGATTGGGTGTACGGGGTGTGGTGAGGGTGCAAAGTATGGAAAGCAGCAGAAATGATTTATTTGTTGTTGTATTAGGAGTTGACATCATGACTGTCTTTATTATGAAGGGTTTCCAAATTTGGTGCAATCTGGTAATCTTCTAATTGGTCGTGGATGTAGAGGGGTCATCGTCATGTAAAAGGGGGTCAGTCCCCATCAATTTTCATTTAAGTCATGTAATGTATTCATTTGTAGAAAACAAAACCCATGATGTCTTACTCTGTGCAATTATTTATTTAACATAAACTAAGGTAGCATGCAGGAGCCGTTTATAGGCCCACCTTTCGGTCTTTGAGAAGCTAAGCATCAGTTAGCTACTAATCAAATATATTGATGAACGGATCATCAGCAAGTCTGAGCACCTTGGTTAAAGTGTGGTGGGTTTCAACACAATGTCAAGAAGGAAAGACAAAAGCAGTGACAACTGAGGGACATGCCTGTTGCTGCACATCGATCTGGGAAGGGTTAAAGGTCATTTCCCAACAAATCTGAGGTTTCTAATTTATTGATTACTTTAAAGAAACGAGAAAAAAGCATCAAACAATGGGTTATTTTTGATGTTGACTCGGTGTGGAGCCTCTTCCTGTTGTTTGGGCTGAGTTTCACTGAACTCAGCAGATAACAGACTCAGGGGAATGTCACTGCACATTATTGATTTGTAGACAAATCACTTTCCAATAACTGAGCAGAGCAGCTTCAGAAACACCCGTGGATCATGGGTAGCCCCCAGCAGATGACACAAACGGCTCACATTTCTAGTAAGCGCACAAACGAGCTCCTGCATGAAACGTGCAATCAGGTTTACAGTGAAAAACAAATTCTCCAGGACGCGTTTGTTTCTTAGCATCTGACAGACAAACTGCGTGAGGACTCACCTAAACTACAATAAAACCATCACACAAGTGAAGGAACAAGGAGAAATGCATATTCTCCTGGAAAACATTTAATCTGAACTGGAACAAAGTATGTATTTTCACTTTAGTTGTATGTTTAAATAACAGCAGCTTGATTTAGAGATTACAACATACAAATTGTATCAGTATAAAACAGTTTAAATGACTTGCCTTTAGTTAAAAACTTTGTTTTGGTGCACATCACTGTAAGTACGAAGTAAAAGAAAGAGGGTTTCTTTACGATGATGGTGAACTGGTTTGTCCACGTTCAGCTGTGTTTTTTTAAAATGGCTCCGAGTTACAAGTGATGCACTTTCGAGACTTTCATAAAAACCAGTTTCCAGCTCAAAACATATTTATTTATTATACAAACAAAAATCTTTCCATGTACAACATCTAAACAAATGATTTGAGCAACGTGCACAATAATTCAGATCGACTCGACACCAAAGAATCTGTAAACAGACACTTGAAGAAGACTTTTTACAATTTTAAGATTGTCAGACGATGCATGTGCAAATTTATTATTTAGTTTTTAACAAGATTTCCAAACAAACAGTGAGTCAAAAATGGTCCTTTTAATTAAATGATGTTGATTCTCCAAATTTCACAGAAATGTTTAGATTTACTTTTTCTCGTTTTTTTTTTTTTTCATTAAACCGTTTTGTTCAGAAGTTTGCACCTTTCATGAGCGTTTGTGAAAATTAATTTCAGGCTTTTAATGTTTGATTTGAGTCAGATTTTTTTTTGTTGGAGGATGATTATAAAACCTACAGTTTCAACCGTTAAAAAAAACAATTTATTGTGGATTTTCTCCCTAACCTTATCTTTTATTAAGCAGCACTGAAGATTCTAGATGTCTTAATAAAAACCCTGTTCACTTCTTGTTAGTAATCATGATTGACTGCAGCTGGTAGTCGGTTATTTTAAACAGAATAAAAGTACTTTTTGACAGCACTTGAATTCACCAATACTCAGAACGACAGGAAAGTCCTAAAAACTTAATGAAAATCTAATCGGGGGACTACACAAGTTGGGGACGTCTTTTGGAGCCATTTTTAAACATGTTCAATTTCAAGTTCATGATTTCAAGCAAACGGGCAGCACGGTGGTGCAACTGGTAGAGCTGCTGCCTCTTAGCGAGAAGGTCCTTGGTTCAAACCCCGGTCCAGGGGCCTTTCTGTGTGGAGTTTGCATGTTCTCTCCGTGCATGCGTGGGTTTTCTCCGGGTGCTCCGGTTTCCTCCCACAGACCAAAAACATGCATGTTAGGCTGATTGGTAACTCTAAATTGTCCCTAGGTGTGAGTGAGAGAGTGAATGGTTGTTTGTCTCTATGTGGCCCTGTGATGGACTTGCGACCCGTCCAGGGTGTACCCCGCCCCTCGCACAGTGATTGCTGGACATGGGCACCAGCGACCCCCGTGACCCAAAATGGAATAAACGGGTAAAGATAATGGATGGATGGATGGATTTCGAGCAATTCTACAGAAGATGACCCAAATTGGTTCGGCTGTTCGGTATGGAGGGTGGAATGTAATGTGATTATTTAAAGGGTACATTTCTTTATGCAATGGGACAATTTATTAATTAACTGTGAATTTAATAATTTAATTGTACATTTAATGATGTATTCAATAATTAATTTATTTATTTAATGGGACTTTATTGGCACATTTATTTCCTGATATATGTATTTATATAATTTCATGATGTATGTATTTAATTTTGCCATATTCCACCCTGCATATAACCAAGAGAAGAAGAAAAAAACGTTAGGCCTTAAAAATACGCATTTTGAGAAGGTTTTATGTGTGATTTACATAAACTAAAAATAAAAAGTTTTTTTTTTTTTTTTTAAATGAATACATTTCCGCGTGTACGTTTATTTTGAAGGCCACACATGGAACATCCGGTTGTGGCCCAGCTCGCTCCTGATTGGCTGAGCGCGTCTCGTGCCTTCTGATGAAGAATCCGTTTTGGGGGTGAAGCAGACATGGAGGAGCTGAGCGCCGTGGGAGAGCAGGTTTTTGATGCGGAGTGCATTTTAAACAAACGGCTCCGGAAGGTTGGCCTTTTTAAAACACTTTTACACGAATTTACGAGTTTCTCTCTTCTTCGGCGGCTCTTTTCAAACTTTCCGTCTCGTTTTTCCCCCCAATTTTTTCAGGGAAAGTTGGAGTTTCTCGTGAAGTGGAGGGGATGGTCATCCAAGTAAGTGCAAGTGAGCCCGAAACAATGAAAACAACAACAGCGTGTCGCTCCCACCGAACCGAACCGTTAGTTTTCACTCCACGGTACCGAGCCCGGACCTTCTGACAAACCCGAACTTCTTTATCTTCATTTCTTGGCGCAGTTGTGGATTTTTAGTTGCGCATTTTGTTCGAAACGACTGCGTTTTCTGCTCGGGTTTCTAAAGGAAAAACTAGAGTCCCTAACGTTGTTTCTCGTGTTTCTGATTCTTTAAAGAGGTTTGCGTCAACAACTTGTTTTTGTCTCGTTTTATCCACAATTTCTCGACCTTAAATAACCGAATCACGCTGTTGTTTTATTATATTTAATCTTCGTGCGTCTTGCAGCGTTTTATTGACTTGTTTGTCGTTTTGTGCACATTGTTGCTGTAGCCCACCATCGGGCACGCCGTTGTGCCAGCTCCATGGGTTTCTGTTAGAACCACATCCTTTGTGTGTGTGCATGTGCGCGCGCGTGAAAAGGGTGGGGGGGTTGATTATTTCCCTGGTGACTGCTGATCAGAATGGGCTTTTCAGGTCTACAGATGTTGAGGTTTCTACATGATGACCTGGTTCATTCGTTCCTTTAAGTCCTTTTGACAGCTGATATGACAAAGCATGCACGCCGTCAAAGGAGTGCTTCAACCTTTAGATTTAGACAAAAAAAAAAGTTAAAAGAAGAAAAAACAACAAAATATAAGACCTGGCATTCCTTGTAGGAACGTATATCACCTGCTGCTTTTCATGTCAGAGTTTCAGACTGGAAACATTTTACGTGGAGTTGTAGCGATTTGTTCAAACATTAAATATAATATTAGGCGTGATCTGCAATATACGCTCCTAGAATATGCTGCAAGACTCGGCTACAGTCATATGTGTAAAACCCAGGGCTTTGAGCCGGATCCTACCGAAACAGGATCCAGGAGCTCTTGGGTCCGGTAACTCCCAGGCCTCCTAATAATAAAGTTATGAACAAACTGGACTGCCTGGAATGAATAAAACCTATATTGGATATGTAATCTGAAAATAATTACATAAACACTCATTTTAAACACAACAGCCACTTGCGAGCTTCCTAATATCACATCAGAGCTGCCGCTTCAAGTAAGCATTTCCACTTCTGCCCTTAAAATAATCTCGGCCCCTAAAAGTTCAATCGTGGAATATTTAATTGAAAATGCAAAAACATAATTAAACAGCGCAACTAAATTGCAAATAAGTTTTACAATTTAAGTGGGTCGTTAATAAAATTTTGATTTATTAAAAATACAATGAGAGAATGGAGCTGGACAATAATTCGATACATCTCGCGATATACTTTTCTTCAGTAACGATGATATGAATTTTAAGCACATTTTCGATAGGATTACAGCGTTTTCTGTTCGGGTTGAAGCGGCCACTTCAGTTTCAACCCGGACAGAAAAAAGTGCGACACAACTACGTGAGTGCGTGGTGACGTAATGTTACGCAGAGCTCGAGTCCAGAAGGCGTTCGTGGTAGCAGGCTAAGCTAGGCTAATCTCCCAACGCGCGTTAAGTTTTCGCTTCGATCGTCAGAATGTGACTGAACAAGCTTCCACAAGCGAAGAGAAAGCAGATGACATCACTGATAAGAGAGAAAAGACTAATTCGCTGGTTTGGAAGTGGTTCGGCTTTTTAAGATCCGATAAACTGCAGGTTTCAGTCAGTGTGCTGCAAAATGTGACGGAGAGTCGTTCTAACCAGCGGTTGGAGCATCGAACTTGTTCCAGTTGACAGAAGATGATGAGTCACAATAAAAGTTTGAGCCAACGTGTCCCTGAAACACCCCCAGCGCTGCAGGTTTTTTATCATTATATTTTATCATTTATTGTTAAACAAATTCATCAGAAAGAAGAAAAAAAAAACATTGAATGAAAAGTTTGCAGAAAGAAGAAAATAATCCTCATCTGCCCCTAATTTAAAAAATACAAAATAACAACTTTGACTTGAACAATCTCCAAACTGAAAACAAAAAACACTTCAGGTATCCATCACCTGGTCCTATACGTTCCCAACAACTTTAACTATCATCTTTTTAAACATATAAATTGTTTTAGACATTTTTATGGTGATATCAAGACAATTCCATAATCCTGTTCCCTGAATTACAACGCAGCTCCTTCAGATTAGTTCTAAATGGAGGTTTTACAAACGTTTACATTCCCGTAAGTTATATTGACTCTCCTTTTTTAATATTTATTTTTTACAAATTTCAATTGAATATTTGGGGCTAATATTTTTATGAGCTTTATACATGACTTGTAAAATACTATATTCAACCAAATCATAACATTTTAATAATTTCAATTGATGACATAATATATTTGTTGGGTGACCACAGCACTTCATAATACTAATAATTCTTATAGCTCTTTTTTTGTAAAAAATAAAAATAGTGTTTGTAATTGTTCTAGTTCATATGGAACAATCATTACATTATACAATATATACAAAGCTTTGTCATTCAAAAACTATTTTACTTTATACAGTAATGCAATCGATTATTTTTATTTTTAAGTATTTTGCATGAGATTTCCATGTCAGCTTCTCATCAATAACGTTTATTTCATTAACAACGAATTTCAATGCTGTCAATTTTAAAGTTGTTGTTTAAAGTCAAAACTATTAATATTGACAAAGTTGAGTATTTTATGTTTATTTGACAGTGATTTCAATTTTTTTTGAAGGCTAAATGCAAATAAAAGGTGAACATTAATTTATTTGTATAGTTTGTAGTTTTTCTGAGGCTTTTATATTGTTTATATCGATATCGAATTATATCGTTATTGACCGAAATTAAGAAATATATTGTGATAAAAGTTTTGTTCATATCGTCCAGCCCTATGAGAGAAATGTTTTGATGGGTAATCACATTATGAACATCATGTATCAAAACGACTGTGCCAATCTGTCAAAATAACCGTGATCAAAATGTCAAAAGGCAGCCAAATTTACTTTCATTAAAAAAAAAAAATTCTCATTGTAAAACTAAACAACTGAGAATTGAAGCACATGAAGGCATTGGCCATGGTGGAGCGGGTGTGGGTGGTGCTTGAGCAAAGCGGAGCGTGCTCTATTCACACAAGGAGAGCTGTTGGTCAAGCTCCTTCTTGTTGCTCTCCAAAATAGTTATTGAATCAAGTGTTTACAGATGTAGGTAAACGTAGATGTTTTAACCCATTAATACACCAGAATGCAGGAAATAGTATCTACTTTATTCAAAATTTTATGGGGAGGACCCCCAGACCCTCCACTATTAGCGTTCCGGCATAGTTTGGTTTACAAATTAAGCCCTGCGTAAAACTGAGTTCACATCATGTTTGCTTTCTGTGGTGGTCGTCCTGAATGGGGTTGACTCTAAATCTGTCAATTGGTTCATGAGATATTTTGCTAACATACAGCAGTTTGTGTGCAAACATACTGTGCAGTGTGTGGCGCTTGAAGTATCTCACGGTGTATGCTCAGCCACCGCCTCAGCAAATATTAGTTCAGCATCTGTAAATATGACTGATTTATCTTCATTTTTGTGCTGGATAATGTTGAATCAGATTGATTCCAAACATTATTCCCTAGGTGTAAAATTAATGATTACTTTCGCGAGTTTCATAAAAATGTGTCCACTAATGTCCAGATATTTTGGTGACAAAGACACAGACAAAAACAAAAGACACATCTGACCTTTTGGCTTTTTTAAAGAATGCTCAAATTAGGGATGTGCGATATGGCGTAAAATTCTGATCACGATATGTATTGTGAAGGGGGGCGATGACGATATATATCACAATATGTTTTTTGTATAAAACTTGCAATGGGATTAAAAAAAGTATAGGGTGTTCTTTTGCCATCATTTGTTTTGAAAACTGCTATACCACAAAATAATCTCAATTAAGAAAATGCCACTACTAGGTCCAGAGAGTTTTTAAATAATAAATCAAGTATTAGGCTTCTTTCTTGTAGTGCAAAACAGTACAAAATTTATCAAATGTAGTTTTAGCCATATGTTTTTAACTAAATAATATGTTGTTAACTCTTAACAGTTTCCAGTATTCTCACTTAAGAAATGAACAGCAACAGAGCAGCATTTTACACTGAAAACACTTCAACCCTCTAGTGGGCGTCTCCTTCCGCTTTAAGGAGAGCTGACACAAAATGGCGACCAGTTTCCTTTGTGGCTTTGACCAGAGGGTCTTGCAGTAAAATCACACAACACAGCGTTCTTTTACAGATCAGAGAGCAGGTTTCTCTAACGCGGACCAACACTTACTTTAACTTTCGACGGAACACAGCGTTTTGCGCATGCGTCCGAATATGGCAACATTACGGCAAGCCGGCCGTAGTCAGCTTGCAACTTCGCTACTTAGCTCTCGAAGAAAAGACTTTAACACCACTTGCGCACAGTTTCCGATTTTAAAAAGTAACGATTAAATCTGACAACTCTTGATATTCAGACACATCTCTGCGGTTAGCCGGTAGAATACAGATCTCTATCATAGGCTAAATGTCTATCGTTTCTACCGTGGACCGTATATATCGTGCATTCCTAGCTCAAATCTGTCTGTGATAACTGTTTTAGGTGCTGGTTATTTAGCATTTTCAACAACAGTTTTGGTCATTTTGTACCCAGACCTTCATGGATATTAAAAAGTGGCTGTCTACCATGAGTGTCAACCTCAATAGTCAATTACGGTATTTAAAGTAATTCATTTAGTTTATTTCATTATAATCTACTCATCTAGTTAGAATTTGGTCAAGATTGAAGCTTGGATGCTTCAGATCCATTTGTACTTTTGTCGTGTTTTACCTCTTCAGATGCTGCTATTTCGTAACAATGTAGATGCAATGACATATCTGTTCATCTATTCTCTTACCCGTCCATCATTTTAACCAAACTCAAACATTTATCTAATCTGAATAAAATGTTTTCTATTAAATCTCCACCATGTTTATTTCAGTTTCCAATTGAAAGCTGCATCGACCCTAACTCAGATCTTAACCAAATTCAGAGCAGATGGCTAATTTTTCCATATCTGTGCGTTCTCGGCTGTACTAAAAGGTAGACACTTGTGATGAGTATGAGCAAACCCTTGGGAGGCTCCTCCTCTGCGTATTTACAAAAGTCTGGCTATGAAGTGACAAAAACTATAAAAGACTGAGGTGCTCAGTGTTGGTTGTGCATGGACCTTCCTGCTACTGCCACACAAAATCTTTGCTCAATATTTGTAATATTGACTAAATTTATAGTCATTTCTTTCCTTTTCTAAGGCCACTTAGCTCTGGCAGCCATATTTACTCCATGACTTATGGTTGGCTCCATAAGGTAATCAGTAGACTGCATCCAGTGGTTAATGTTTGAAAGTGCCATTGAATGCGTTTCAATGTTTGAGATATTTTACTTGAAGAAAGACAAATACACAGACGCTTGCAAAAACAGTTATACAAGAGTAAGTACACTGGCACCAAATTATAAAGCCAGACTATGAATGTACTTTTTTTTTAATGCCCGATATCCATCATATTTTCATTTTATGTCATTACTCCTCTCATGTTCATCATGTAGCATTACAGAGTGGTGAAAAACATGATCTGTAGAAGAGTTTAGCAGTTAGAGTAAATATTTTAAACCATCTAGGGATGCACGATATTGAATTTTTGGCTGATAACCAATACTGATTTTTTTTTTATATACTTTGTCGGAACATAGCCCTCTTATTTAGGCTTTTTTGCTTCAAAAATTGTGTAATAGCTAAGAACTGGCGACATATATTCAGTAACAGCCATATGCATAGCACTTTAACTTATATTAAATGAAAAGTGTTAAATGTTATTAGCATTAGTCACCTGCGATGCTGTCTCACTTGTGGAGGCTTGTTCCAGGTTCCTATAGCTGCAGTGTGGGATCCTCTGCACTCTTGTGCATGAAGAACAGCCTTTTTAAGTTCAAAGTTTTTGTCTATCCATTGTGCCGTAAGACCAGTCATGCTAACGAGGCTAACACGACGTCCAAATGTCTGTGGTAAAACTCACCCGAGTACTATCGGCTATTAGCTTCTCGATGACTTCAGAAATGACGGCTTGTAACTCGGGTAAGGCTACGTCGGAAAAATTTCGGACGATGTGGCGAGGCTCAACGTAGTCCAAAAATCTTCGGAATCCAACACCCTCAACAAAAATAAAAACCTTCCACACCGCCGACATTTTGACTTCTTCCTCTCTGCCATGATCAGATCAGGTAGGCGCGTGTGACGTCATCACGTTCTGCTGGTGCTGCAGGCATCCTTGTCACTGGGTTGTCGTAAAAAAACAGCGTATTTTATATCGGTGAGTTATTTTGATGGAATGGCTGATGTCCAATATTTAACTTTTAACTAATATCAGCCGATACCATGCCGATAACATTTTGCATGCCTGAAACCGTCATTGGTTTCTAGTATCCTCTATACCATGTTGTCCCCTTGAACCTTGAAATTTGAAAAGCTCAAAAAGGTGCATGTTTATAACCGTTACCTAAGCTGAGATAAAAAGTCTCTGCTTTCTTATTTGACATTGGATGTCAACACCAACATTTCTGGGCCTACGTCAGTGAGTTTCTGTTTCCATAAAGATCCAAAGATGTCTTATTAGGTAAAAGATTATTAATAACAGTCATTTGCAGCCAACTCGAGTAACGCAAAGGTACCCATAACCATGTTAGTGTCTGGTGGAACAACAGAGTCCTCTGTTTGTTCTTGAATTAACAGAATCTGTTGAGATCTGGGCTCGCAGGTCGGCTGGCTCACCTTGCTTGTTGTGTTAATGTCATTGTAGTAAATCTCTTTATGTTCAATTATTCCAGACACAACAGCTGGGAGCCTCAAGAAAACATCCTTGATCCAAGACTCTTGGCTGCATTCAACAAGAAGTACGTGTCCTCATTAAGACCTGGAGTAAATTAATGTATTTTAAAGTTTCAAAGATAAACTAAACCTAAAACATCTTAAATATGTTTTTGATGTGGCTGTAATTTTTATGTTTTAGCACTTTTTGGTAATAAAAGGTTTTGATTGGTGCACAACATGAGGATAAACATTATATCATTTATTTTCATTAGAGAGCAAGAAAAGGAACTTCTGATGCTTAAAAGAGGCAAAAGGCCCAGAGGACGACCACGAAAGATCTTAGTAAGTCCAAGTCAACACAGAACTTTACTTGTCAACTCAGGAAGGACAATTTGTTGTTTGTTCCTGAATTTTTAGGACAATGCACCCGAGCCTACAAAGTCGAGCAGCTCTTCATCTGCTACATCTTCCTCATCCTGTGATTCCTCATCCTCATGCTCTTCTTCATCTTCATCATCAGACGATGATGAAAGCCACGTTAAACAAACAAGTCCAGCTGTAAGAACAAGAGAGCTTCATCCTGTCCCCCAGAAGAAAGCCCAGATTGTCACAAAACAAGAGTCTCAAAAGAAACGGAGCAAGAAACTTCCTGAAGCAAAGGATTTTCTGCAGAACAAAAGCCCCTGCAAAATCCTGAAGACCACCAAAGATGCGGATCTTCCAGGGGCCATCAAGAAGCCTGTTCACCCATCAAGCTTTACCTTCATGGGTTTTCACCGTAACACAGCCAGAGATATGGTGGGTGGTCAGTACAGGAGCCCCTTGAGTCATGGTGGGGCAGTTAAAATGAGCTCAGTTGGACCTGGCCGGTCATCAGTCCAAACCTCATCAGGCCTCCTTAACAAATCCAACCCGAGCAGAAACGTAACCGACGGCAAACTGCCCATCTCCACCAGTATGAATAATGGAGCAAGTCTTGATTTGAAAGCAGCTGCTTGTAAATCAAAAGGCGTTGCGGCATTGAATTTGAATACATCTAAACACCCCATCCAAGGAACCGCTCAGCACACCCTGAGTCCACCCTGTGGACAAAAGAAGCCCCAGGCTCCTGTGTCAACAGTGCAGCGGATACCCAATACGAAAACTGTGGCATCCTTATCGTCAAAAAACTCCTCTTCCAGTCAGGGTTCCAGTCCTCAACCCCTCAACCTTCAGAATAAAACATCTCCATTCAGTGGTGCTCATGGAACTGGTCCTACACCAGCATCAGGTCTGAGAAATCCATCAAACCCAGCAAGGAAGATCACAATCACACAAAGCCAGAAGTCCAATCCTCCTAAAAGTCCTGTAATCCCTGGAAGACTACCGGCCAGGAAACCCCAACTTGGTGGAGACAAAGAGGTGAACGAACTCCAGACGAACAAAGTCCAAGGCAGACTGGACAAATCCTGCACAGAAATCCAGAACCAGCAGGAGAGAGTGCCCACTAAAGGCAGCAAAAAAGCCAAGATAACTGAAATGAGCACCGGTGAAGAGGAGAGCAGCTCCGACTCGGACCCTGACAACTCCTGTGCCGGACAGGGTCACTCAGTTCTGAGCCAGAACCAGGACTGGAAGCCCACACGCAGTCTAATTGAACATGTGTTTGTAACCGATGTCACAGCTAATCTGGTCACTGTCACAGTCAAGGAGTCACCGACTAGCGTGGGCTTCTTCAGCATCCGCAACTACTGACGGAGCTCGGGTCGACCAAACCAGAATAGTCCTGGCTCAAAGAACTGGAGAAACTCGGCAGACTAAACTACAGGGTTAATAATTAGTTCTTTATTTTATTCTAGTAAAGAAAAATTTAGGGATTCAAGAAATAAAAATAGAGTACATAAATGATTGTAACTATTTATTCGCCAATTTTGGCCTCACCTGATGGACTCCGATACAAATCTGAACTTCAGCAGTCCTCATTTTGTTACTGAGATCGTTTAGGAGATAAAAACCTACTCATCTTCATTATTAAAGCATCAGCGTTTAGTAGAAACTACTACTCCATAATCATATATGTGTTTTGATGTTGATTGGACAACCATAGACCCAACATCAGATGGACATTGCCAACTCTGTGCCATTCAGTGGTTTGTGGACCAATTTTTCAAAGCCTTGGTTTGGGATCTTTCATTTTTCTGAAACCGGAAATTACAAAGGAGGGACTCATTTGAAGCAGCTGTGGCTGAGTGGTTAGAGCAGTCCTCCAATGGGAGAGTTGGGGATTCGATTCCACCAGCAGTCCCATGTTGAAGTGTCCCTGGGCAAGACACTGAACCCCTCATTGCCTCTGATGTGTGTCCCATCAGTGTATGACTGTGATCTAAAGCACTGATTAGTCTCTACAGATTCAGATTAGCTTTGTAGAGGTGTAGTAGAGTGCTGTGTGGAGGTAAATGAGGGCACAAGTTGTGTTGTAAAGCGCTTTGAGTATCTTGATAAGACCACTGAAACTCTTTAAACCTAAAGATCAATCCCATCAGAAAAGCTACCTGCGCTTGTTTCATTTTACTCAAAATAAATCAAGTGAAGTGTGGAACAGTGGTGCAGTTGGTAGGGCTGCTGCTTCTCAGCGAGCAGTTTGCCGGCCGGGACCTTTCTGGGTGGAGTTTGCATGTTCTCTCTGTGTATGCGTGGGTTTTCTCGGGGTACTCCATTTGCCTCCCACAGACCAAAAACATGCATGTTAGACTGACTTGTAACTAAATTGTCCCTAGGTGAGAGCTAGGGGCTACAGCGCCAAATGTCCAGGCCTAAAAGTTACACTCATCAGTCTTCATTCAGCTGTTCCCATTTCTGGGGTCTCCACAGTGAATCCTCCTCCTCCATCTCTCTGTCTTCACTCCAACTACCTCCATGTCCTCTAACTACATCCATATATCTCCTTTTTGTCTTTTTCCTGGCAGCTGCTTTTCTAATGTCCTACCAATATACCCACTGTCCCTCCTCTGGACATGTCTAAACCATCTCACTCTGGCCTCTCTAACTTTATCTACCAAACAATTGTTTAAAAATCTGATCTGAATCTGCTGGGGTTTTTTTTCCAAAATGCACTTCAGTAGAATAAATCATAAACATGCGGATGCTGCCAAGATGGGTACGATGTGAGCAGTAAACGGCCGCAAAGCCCTTCTTACGATCCGCACACACAACAAGCCATGTGTGATTTTCAAGACAAAGAATAGTCCACACTTCTTGCTGTTCACTTAGCCTCAAACTCTTGGAGCTCAGTGCGCTGATGAAGATTCTCAGTCATCCAGGACATGATAAATTTTAAAAATGGTAAAAAAACAACACAACTGGACTTTATTTGAAACTGAAGACGTTTCGCTTCTCATCTGAGGAGTTTGTTCAATTCAAAGAAACAAGTGCGGGATTCAAGTTATAAAGCAGAAGTGTTATGTAAGCTTGCATAATGCAGATTGACACATGCAGATTGACCTCTCACTTCACAATAGAGGATCGTTAGAGTCTTTGTTAGTTAGCTCGGTGATACTGCAACAGAAATTTCACCAACTTTCTTACAATTTTTCCAACAGTTTGAGCCCAATTATACCTTAAGTAGAATGCAGGGTTAAAATTCTAAAGTATGTGTGGTTTCCCCCTTTCATCCCAGTGATGGTTATTATACAGCACAACATAAAGGAAATGTATTGATAAGTGGGCAAAAGAGTTTTTCTTATGAATACCAATATTAAAATCTGAATTTGTCAGTAGTGTTTTTGTAATGTTGCAGGAATTAGCTACCTCTGTTTTTCATGGGCTACATATATGTAATTATTTATTTATGATTAGTGTCCCCCCCTTTTCCCAAGGATGTTCTATCATCATTTTTCCCTAGCTCTAAATATGTTGGACTTTTCTGCTTTCAGATGGAGGCGCAGACAACAGCTTTCACACTCAGTTGCTCTGAGCTCCTCATTATCGCCTCAGAAAGCGTTTCTTTCCACTGCATAGACGGGTTAACACGGCAGTTTTCTGTACGAGTGCAAGTCCGCAGGAAGTCAGATATAGTATCTAGATCAGTTGGCCTCCCTCTGACGCTCGGATAAGACTCGTGCCTGGCTCAGGTTTACTGCCATCTTGGCATCCTCTAGCAGGATTTCCACCAGGATTCAGGCTGGTAATCTGGACTGAAAATGGTAAACGTGCTTGTTTTGACGTGGCTGGACGATTATGGTTATTACACCTGATGATGCGTCTCCCACAGCTGCAGGAGGAACGGTTGGGTGTGGTTACATCGTTCTTCACCACAAGAGATTTTATCGTGCCTGTGTGTCAGCATTTCTAGATTCTAGTATTTCGTTCTTTTTTTGGTTACTTGCAGCGGTTTGCGTCGTCTTCCCTGCACACGTATGGTTTCAGGAGCTGCAGGCTCGGCCAGAAGGGAAAAAATAAAAAAGTTCTTATCTGATGGAAAAGAAACGACAACAATGTGCACTACTTTCTGCTCCCCTGAGAGGAGTTCAGGAACAAAGCACTTTGACTGAACTCCTCTGGTAGATCCTGCGCCTTTCTTTCTTTTAAAGTTTTCGCACAAAGGAATTACCCCAAAGATAGCTAGGATTTCAGGAAGCTCGGTAAAGGGAGAACCCCAGGAGTAAAGCGTGGAGCCTGAACCTGTTTTACATTGTGAGACGTGTGGGAACACCCTGCTGGGAGACAGATCTCAGATACGTGGAACAGACAGGAAATGGATTATTGATGGAAACCATTTAGGTCCATCTTGTAGAAATAGTGACCATTTAGAACCATGTTTTGGTAAAAGCATGGATGTTTTTTATGATGCAACTTTTAAAAGTCATGAATTGTTATCACAAAATGTGAGGCTGTGGGGTTACGGAAGGTAGTAACGTTTCTTTTCCGTTATTTTTACAGATGAACATCTGGTCTGTTGTAGCTCTACTAACCATGTCAAGATGTTTTTTTTCTACCTATTTATTTCAAATAGAGTGGTGTCATAAACCCTTGTATTGTGTGCCACTTGTTATACTGGATTTACTAATAAATAGTGCAAATACAACCTGTTCAGCTTGTTTTAATTTCCCCATTTATTTATTCCACATTTGGGCTTTGAGTCAGGAGAGACTGACTCCACAGTAGAACAAATTAAAAACGAACAGCAGAAAATGATTTAGAAAAATTCATGTTCATTAATTGGTACCAGACTAAAGTTTATGATGAAGCACCAGGTCAGTCAGAAACACTTTTTAGATGTTTTATTTCACAGAGTTTCATTTGTCCAGGATAAAAAGTTCATGTGGCCAAGAATGTCCACCTTGCAGTTTTTAAACGTTCTGCAGGTACTTTGCTTTTCCTTCAAAGTTTATTTTTGGACTTGGCACACGTTTAATTGTTTCCCCTAATCAAGCCATTTTTATTTTATTGTAAGTGATTTTGGAACTCGGGGTCAAAGTATTTTTCACTTAAGTCATCAACGACCCAACAATTAGGATATTTAGGCTATTTTTATTTATGTTGCCTTGAAGCAAGAGCATAGTTCTTTAGCTTCATTAAGTTAAAAAAAAGAGTCAATTTAAACTTATTTTCAACAAAAAGGTGATTTTGTTTTAAAGAGCTATTAGCTGAAAACATGCAGTTAATTAGCTGAAGGGTGGTCAGGGTTTCATTTAGTTCTTTATTTTTTTAAGTTGTTGGAAATCTTGTTTTTTCCTTGTCCATTTTTTGTGTCTTTTTAAAAACATAACTGGCACCAAACAGCAAAGTATCTAGTCTTTCAGCTGATGCTGAGGAAACCGCCATCATCCAAAAGAAAAATATTGAAAGACCTCCAAAAACCCTGAAGAATGCTGATCAAAATCATTTTTAAATGCACTGCCTGGCCAAAAAAAGTTTTTTTTTTAAAGTTGCCACCTGGATTTAACTAAGCAAATAAGTATGAGCCTCCTATTGGATAATTACTGCATGGGTGATTATCTTTCAGCTGCAACAAGTTATTTAACCCCAACTGGTGCAATGAGTTGATTCTCATTTCTCAACAATGTTGAAAGACACATGGCGTGGTCGTGGAAAAGATGTCAGTCTGTTTGAGAAGGGTCAAATCATTGGCATCCTTCAAGCAGAGAAAACATCTAAGGAGATTGCAGAAACTACTAAAATTGGGTTAAGAACTGTCGAACGTATTATTAAAAACTGGAAGGATAGTGGGGACCCATCGTCTTCGAGGAAGAAATGTGGCCGGAAAAAAATTCTAAATGATCGTGATCGGTGATCACTTAACTGTTTGGTGAAATCAAATGGAAGAAAAACAACAGTAGCACTCAGGGCTGTGTTTAATAGTGAAAGTAAGAACATTTCCACACGCACAATGTGAAGGAACTCGTGGGATTGGGACTGAACAGCTGTGTAGCCTTAAGAAAACCACTAATCAGTGAGGCTAACTGTAAAAGAAAAAGTTTCAATTTGCTAGGGAGCATAAAGATTGGACTCTAGAGCCGTAGAAGAAGGTCATGTGGTCTGATGAGTCCAGATTTACACTGTTCCAGAGTGATGGATCAAGGTAAGAAGCGAGGCAGGTGAAGTGGTGCACCCATCGTGCCTAGTCATCAATGCAAGACCTTGGTGAAAAATTAATGCAACACTGGATGGAAATAGATCTTGTGACATTATAGAAGCTTATTGAAACAATGCCACAGAGAATGCATGCAGTAATAAAAGCTAAAGGCGGTCCAACGAAATATTAGTGCGTGACCTTTTGTTTTTTGGCCAGGCAGTGTATGACAAGATTATCATTTTACAGTGAACATGTACTGAAGCTTGGATAAGCATTAACTATAGTTTTAGCTTCCCACAGTAAATAAAGTATGATAAGCTGAAAAATGCTCCAAACTTAATAAACAACACAACGGTACTTCTAGCTATTTAACTTTCAATAATGCATAAATGTGCCACAAGGCTCAGTTTT